ACCGCGCCTGACGGAGGCGATGCGGAACCTTTCAGGTTTGAGAACTACCTGATCGGTGTTATCGTCCTCATTGCCGACCTGATGGTCTGATCGACGTGACAGGGCATCAGCCTTTCCATTGGACGTCCCGGCCTTGTGCGTGATGCGGAAGTCGAAGCGAGCCAGGAACAGCGACCATTGTGCTTGACGACGCGTGAGATGCTGGGATGTACGCCAGTACTCGAGGTTCTTATGATCGGTTACGATCTCGAACTGATTGGGCAAACCCTCGAGATAGTGGCGCCAATCGTCTAGTGCCTCAATGATTGCGAGCATCTCCTTATCGTAGATCTCATAGTTACGCTGGGCAGGGTCCATAGCGTGAGACCGGAAGGCGATAGGGTGTCATTTGCCGTCGTCCTGCTTCTGCATCAACACGCTGCCAGTGGCGTAGCCCGAGGCATCAACCTCAATGCGCGTCTCCCGATTTGGGTCATATAGTGCCAAGACCGGTGTGGTAGCGAAGAGCCGCTTGAGCTCATCGAAGGCATGCTGCTCTTCCTCTCCCCAATGCCATGGGTCGTTCCCTGTGAGCCGGTCGAGTGGTCACGAGATCTTGGCGAAGTCTTTGATGAAGCGGCGGTAGAAATTGGCAAACCCCCGGAACTTCTGAACGTCCTTTTTGTTCCGGGGTACCGGCCACTCATTAATTCCTTTTAGCTTTGCGGGATCCATCGCCACCTCATCGCCACCGAACACATAGCTGACATAGTCGACTTTGGGAACATCCCATTCACACTTTTCAGGCTTCAGGAACAGATCGTTATCCTGAAGGCGACGGAGAACCTCGCGTGTGACCTTTTCATGCTCTGCTTTGTTGGTAGAGAAGATGAGTATATCGTCCAGGTACACAAGGACCTTGCCGCTGACGATGAGATCATGGAAGATCTCGTTCATCATCGCCTGGAAGGTTGCGGGGGAATTGGTGAGGCCGAAGAACATTACCAGGGGTTCGTACAGTCCCCGGTTAGTCACGAAGGCCGCCTTCCACTCGTCACCGGCTTTGATCCGGACGTTGTTATATCCCCATCGGACATCGAACTTCGTAAAGAGCATGGCACCGCGGAGCTTATCTACCATCTCGGCAATCAGCGGCAAAGGGTAGCGATTTTTGACCGTGATCGCATTTAACTGGCGATAGTCCTGTACAGGTCGAAGCATCCCCTCCTTTTTTTTGATGAAGAAGAAGGGGGATGAGATGGGCGACTTCGATTCCCATATGTACCCTTTAGCCAGTTGCTCCTTTAGGAACTTGTCCAGCTCCTCTTGCTCGTTGTTCGACAAGGGATATACCTTCGAATGGAATGTTGAGTAGCCGGGTACGAGTTCGATTGCGTGATCATACGGCTTTTTTTCTGGTAGCCGCTCTGATGCTTCCTTGGAGAAGACTTTCAGGAACTCGTGATACTGTTTAGGTACAGACTCCTCGGCGGTCTTAACGACCTTCTTCTTGATCTCCTCCTCAGCGAACAGCTGGGAGTACGTATGTCCGGCTGCGACGAACAACTGAGGGGCGCCAGGAAGCGTAATACCTTGCTCCCAGGCCTCAATCAAGTCGGCTTCGTCCCACTCGACCTCTACCGGATCTTCTTCGGGTTCGAAGTCCGGGAGCACCTTACTCCGGCAGGCACCTATGACCGACCGTTTGGACTTCGGCGAACATCTGCGTGCCGTGGGCCTGACCCCTGTATCACGCGCAGTCGCTGCTTGCTCCATCCGGCCAGTTCTCCTGGTACTGCACATTTCAGGGCATCGCAACAATTTGAGGGAGCCTTTCTCCCAATCGATTTCGGGGTTGTGCTCGCGTAGCCAATCCAACCCAACGATCACATCCTCTGGACCGATGTCCGTGACCGTAAACACCGTCTTTTCAACGTGTTCTCCTATCTGCATCTGTAGCACGGCTACTTCCGAGATGCTTCCGTCTTTGTTCAGGGTGCCGTCGATATTGTATAGCGGAATCGGTTCTTTCAGCTTCCGTGTCTGCACCTTATTCTCTACGATAAATCGCTTGTTGATAAACTTTGTGGTGGCTCCGCTGTCCACCATAGCGATTACGTCCTTGTGCCGTCTTTTCCCTTGGAGTCGAACTGGAATGTGAAAATGCTGGGACCCCTGGACCAACTCATACACCATTGCAGTTGACAATACATTATACTGATTACAAGATGATACTTGCGGCCCGACGCGTGCGGCACGAAGCGTGGACCGGATCAAAAAGACTCCTCTTTCATTGCCCGATAGTGCTCGAGCTCCTCGCGCATCGACTTCATCTGTGCCATCAAGTCCGCCAGCTCGGAACTTTCCGATTTCGCTGCAGTGGTGTTTGTACTTGCTGAGGATGAAGCGACGGGGGCGCTTGTCGCCGCCTGGGTGGAACCCGAGGCAACCGTAGCCCGCACATCGGCACGTTTTGTGTAAGGCTTGTCCTTACAGTTGGGGCACTCGAAATGTCGGTACCCTTGCTTCCCGCAGCCAAAACAACTGCCGGGGAAGTCTCCTTTTCCGATGGCCGCATTGATGCTGGCCGAAGCTCCTTGTGGTCGAGGTGCACCACCACGTGCCCCACCGCGTCCTCGGCCTCGGGCCGAGAAGAAATTGTTCAACTCAGGCCGCCGGGCCCGGCTAACGTTGAGGATTTGCTCGACCTCGGTGGCGCGCTTGTCAGCGGCTTGCCACGTGGCGAAGGTCTCGAGCTCGATCTTGCGATAGACGCGGGAGGGGATGCCGCTCAGGTACTTGTCGCGAAGTTCCAGGTCCCCATACCCGGAACAGTCCGCCGGACCCTTGAACAGCGCAGAGAATTCTGCGGCGGTGCGCTTCTCGCGCATGGTTTTGTCAGCACAGAGCTTGGTGAGCTCCACC